CCTGGGCTTTCAGACACATGCTACTTTTTTCACTTGGGTTTTAGGGTTTCAAGCACTTTGCCCACTGTGCGATCTCCTGGTCCTACCCTGTAGTCTTTTAGAGCATTGCCCACTGCTTTTCTACTCTGAATCAAAGGTAGATAAAAACAGAAGAAACCACCTGGCATCAGTTCTTATGGTAGTCCCAAAATAGGTTAGGAAAGGACATACTCATTTATTAATAAAGTCTTCTCTGCTCCCTCTACACCCAGGACTGGGTAAACACAAGCTACTACTACTGGTCATCAGTAGGAATAGAGCAAGGACAAAGGTAAGCAACTATGATGGAAGGCTTTCCTGCAGCCTTTGTGTTGCTTTTCCGGGGGGGTGTCTATCTTTGTGTGGTTGCTGCAAAACTGTGACTGTTTTCCCAGACTTAGTTACATTTGGTTTGGTCTCTTTCTTATTTTTAAAATTTTAATGCACTTATTTATTTATTTATTTATTTATTTATTTATTCTGTGTGTGTGTGTGTGTGTGTGTGTGTGTGTGTGTGTGTGTGTGTGTGTATCCAGGCATGGAGGTAAGAGGAAAACTTATAGGAGTCAGCCTTCTTCCACCACTTAAGTGGGTCCTGGGATGGAACTCATACTGTTAGTCTTGGTTGTAAGGGCTGAGCCATTTAACTGCCCTCTCATTATTTGTTTAATTACTTCTGTGAGAATGAGATCTAAGAGTTACCTACTTTGCTGTTTTGATGCCATCATTGTGGGTTGAATTTTTGGTAGCCTCAAATGATTTTAGAGCGGTTCAGTGTTGGGAATTGATCTTCGGTTTATACTGCTGAGCTATATCCCCAGCCCAGTCACAAAATAACATCTTATTTTCCATTGTTCTTAACAAAGTTTTGGTCAGTTTGTTGTAAGGACATCCTGGAATTCAAGTGGCCTCCATGATGTTTAATTCAAGATCTGGCAGTGAGGTATAATGAAGCAACTTCAATGGATTACTTTTGCTTTGGGCACTAATGAGAGGGATTTTTTATAATCTAACTTGGTTTTGTTTTATCCCATTCTTTGTGTAGCATTGTATTCATTATTTTTCCTGTTGCTGTGAAAAAATACCTGGCAAAAGCAGCTTAATAGATAAGGCTTTATTCTGGGTCGTCATTTCAGAGTGTCTCAGTCCACAGTGGAGTTTAGTGCAGTATGGCTGTATGGTGGAAGCAACCAGAGCAGGAAGCAGAGGACACAGACCAAAACCAGAACCAGAAGCAAATATAACCTTAGAGCCCTACCTTCTAGTAACCTACTTTCCCCAAGAACCATTTCCTAAAGGCTTCATAACCTCCTCAAACAGTGCCACCAGCTAAGGAGCAAAAGTTCAAAGCATTGTGGGGTACATTTCATATTTGAACCATAAATGCATGGCCCTAATTTCCCACTTCTGTGTTTTTCCTGCCACTACCAAATCTTCAAATGCTCCTTTATTCCTTTGTTTACATTTTCCCCTTTGGAAGTAATGTTTTTCATGATTATTTCCTTAGATCATGCACATTTTTCCTACAGCCAGCAGCTCTTTGCTATAGCAGATCAGGTTTTTTTTATACCTCCATGCACATAGATGGCAAGGCACTGGGCATCTTTCTAAACATAATCTCAGCTTCATTTACCCTCTCTGCTCTGGCCTTTCAGACCCTGCTTGTATTCCTGAATAGTTCATGGCAAGAGTTTGAAAGACAACTGAGGTGGATGTTTGTTTTTTGTTTGCTTGTTAGTTTGGAGTTTGTAGGTAATTAGAGCATTTTGTAGTACTCTCTAATTTGTATTATACATTATACTGAAAGTATTGGTTATGAGTGGTACTGTGTGTTGTGTTATGCAGCAAAGCTTATTGGGAAGTCTATGGAGCTATTTGGGTGATTTTTGTTAAGTTGAGGTTTTTTCCAAATGCTGAAGATTCATCCCAAGCCTCTGTGCATGCTACACAAGTGCTCTCTGCTACAGAGCTACATCTCAAGCCCCTATATGGAAACGTTTGGATTTATTAAAATGTATTTATTCTAGACTACTTGAGAGCTCCTTATTTTTAATTTTAAGAAGCTAAGATAGAATCTACCTGCAATCAAATAGATCCTTTGAGTGTATAGTTCTGTTAACCCATAGCTGTCTAACCACCACCACAATGGAGGCAAGAGCTCTGTTACTCCCTTGGTAGTCAGCCCTGCTGCACCTGCCCTTCTAACCACTGCTATATTTCCTGTCTCCGCAGTTTTGAACTTTCCCATTAGTTACATATGTGGGACCATACAATAGATACCCACTTGAGCCTGGCTTCTTTCATTTAGCACAGTACATTTACTATCTGTATTAATACCTGTGCCATTAATTCCCTCATTTTTATTATTCAATAGCTTGCCATCATGTGGATTCAAGTTTGTCTATTTGCTGACTGAAAAGTGCTTAGGTTGTTTCATGTTTGGGTGATTAAAAAATAAGTGTTCATTTCCAAGCTTTTGGAGGCTGTGTGACTTCCATTTCACTGGGGTAAATACACCTAGGAACATTATTATTGGATTGATCAATAGTATATTCTTTTTTTGAGACAGGGTTTCTCTGTGTAGCTTTGGAGCCTATCCTGGCACTTGCTCTGGAGACTAGGTTGGCCTCGAACTCATAGAGATCCACCTGCCTCTGCCTCCCAGTGCTGAGAATAAAGGCGTGCACCACCAACGCCCGGCAGTCAATAGTATATTCTTAACTGCACAAACACTCGGGAAACTTTCCAAAAGCCTGTGCTGTTTCTACCTTCATGTCTATGAAAACAGAGATCCAGCTGCTCCATATCTATATTACTTGATTGTGAGGTCGCCTATTCTAACAGGTATGTGGTGGCATCTCATTCATTGTGGTTTTAATTTGCAATTCCCTCATAACTAATGATGTTGAACAACTTTTTATGTATTTATTTGCCATTTATATGTCTTGTTTGGTGAAATCCTCTGCTTTTTTGTTTTAATAGTGGTTTTTTATATTTATAGGTAGTTGTTATATCTTATATGAGTTTTATACTCTCCAATAGTCTAATAGTACTTTTTATGTTATTAGGTAACTGATCTATAATATTTACTTCTATTCTGTGACTTGCCTTTTCATTAAGAATGAGTATCTGAGCCGGGCAGTAGTGGTGTATGCTTTTAATCCCAGCACTTGGGGGGAGAGGCAGGTGGATCTCTGAGAGTTTGAGGCCAGCCTGGTCCACAAGAGCTAGTTCCAGGACAGCCTCCCAAGCCACAGAGAAACCCTGTTTCGAAAAAAAATGAGTATCTGAAATTTTTGTTTTACTTGGTTTACCAAGATTTAAGGGATTTTTTCCTATACTTTTCCCCTACAAATACTATGGGTTTAAATACTAATTTATGTCAGTGGTGTGTTTTTTAGGGTATTTTTATGTTGCAGTTATTTTAGAATCACTTGTTAGAATAATTTTCAGGAAACTAGAGGGAGGAACTGAAGCAAAGACTATGGAAAAATGTCCCTTGTGGGCTTGCTCTTTCTGCCTTGCTTGACTGCTTTTCTCATACACTCAGGGCTACCTGCATAGGGATGTTGCTGTCATAGTGGGGTGGGCCATCACCCATCAATTAGCAATTAACAAAATGCACCACAGATATGACTGTAGGCCAAATCTAATGGAGGTAATTACTCAATTGAGATTCCTCTCTCTAGGCAAAACCTAATCAGTACACATATATTATGGTATATTAGTTGACATAATTATAACTTTTCTGGCAAACACAGTGATGTCTCAGTGTGGCTTAAATTTTCACTTACCTGAATATGGCTTGCCATTTCACTGTTATACTTAAATCTTGCAACACTTGCACATCTTTTTCTTTATGAAGAGCGATTTCATGTTTCACAATTTGGCCTCTGGAAAAATTTGTTTTTTAAAAAATTTCCTGTATTATTGTTTTGTCTTGCTGAAACACAGCTTAAATTGGGCAAGGGAATTCCCTCAAGGAAGTTCCCCAATGTGTTTGGAGATAAGGCCAATCAGAGCACTAAAGAGGTATTGGATTAAGCAGGTGATCTGCCCCAAGAATTTATTAAGGAAACTCCTCACAATGGGTAGTGAGATAAAGGGACAACCAATGGATATGTCTGCATTGAGTAGGTCATTGTACATGGTTTATTTGTGGGCTTAAGGAATTTGGGGTAAAGTTCTTCCAGAGTTTGAGGCAGTAATCTAACTATATTTAATCAGTATCTGATAATGTTGAGGGCCTCATCTTGGGTTCAGTCCTGCAGGGAAGAAATTTTGGCTAGCTGGATCACAGAGCAATCAGGGTACTCTGATTTTTGGTCAAAATAGGAAGCTGTTTGGAGATGGGATGGTTACAGATGGACAGATTAATGGAACTGGGAAGCCTTCCAGGCATTTTATAGATACCTGATTGCTACTTCTCAGATTACACTTAGGGTTTCCCTGTAGCTAAAGGCAAAGGAGGTTCAGTTTTGGTTTTCCCACATATGTATCCAACAATACACTTGTGTTTATTGAAGAGCTCCTTCTTACTGCTTACTGCACCAACTTTTATCATAAGTCAGCTGTCTATACATATTTAAATTCCATTTTGAAAAGATTTATTTTTAATTTATGAGTATGTCTGTGTGTGCCATGTATGTTCAGGTACCCACAGAGGCCACAAGATAGGCTGTTGTGAGCTGCTTGATGTATGTGCTAAGAAGCAAACTTAGGTCTTCTGGAAGAACAGCAAACACTCTTAACCATGAGCAATCTCTCTAGCCCCTGTACACACTTGGATTCTGTTGTTCTCCTAGATACCTATCCTTATGATAATATGATATTTTTATTGATTTGTAATTCTCCTTCAAAGTAGATTATTAATGTGTTGTGAAGAAGACAGCTTGATGAACTGGGAGCTCAATTCGAATTTTCCTCATATTATTATCACTCAGTCATCAGTGTTTTAGAATAAAAGAAATTTCCTGTTATAGGAACTAGTGACATTTGAGGATGTAGCTGTGGATTTCACCCAGGAGGAGTGGCAATACCTGAACCCTCCACAGAGGACCCTGTACAGAGATGTGATGCTTGAGACCTACAGCAACCTTGTCTCTGTGGGTAAGATGGCATCCTCAAGTAATTTTTTATGGTTATTATATTCAGTGGGGGGATTTTGCTTGATTGATTTCATATTTTTCTTTCCTTAAAGGAAATGCAAAATATTGGTTAAATTGTATCAAGTGATAGGTCCCTTGTGCTGACCACAAACTGCAAATTCTTCTGTTTCAGGCTCTGAAGACCAAGGAGGTATCTATCACTTGTCATCCTTAGAACAGCAGGTTACTAAACCAGATCTCATTATCAAGCTGGAGGTAGAAGAACCAGAGCCAGATGGGGAAATTTCAGTTTGGAACTTTTCAGGTAGTATCTTAGTGCAGCCCTCTGTCCTGTTTTTCTAGTGAACTAGATCAGATTCAAGGCTGGCTTTCTTCTCTTTTTCCTTCCCAAGTATTTCCAATAGGAGGTATGTCATACACAGTTGTCTCTGTTTTATGCTATTAGTTATTGATAATTGCTGATTAGGCCACTTAATTCAGTAATAGCTGAAAATGGTGAATTTTTAATTTTTTTATTCTTGAGAATTTCATACATTCATACAATAAAATATGATTACACTTACTCTACCATTTCCCAATTCCTATTCCTCCCATAGTCCCCTCAACAGATCTTCCTCCCAACTTTGTGTCTTTTTTTCTTGCAAATATGTCCAGTTACTGCTGTCCATATCTTCATGGATATAGGGAAACTCTAAACAGTTGTGGTTACCTGCAAAAGATCAAGCCAACCCAAATTGCAGCATAAATAGAGGGTAGGTGATCACTAATATCACTCCTTACCAATGAACTATTGGCTGGAAGAGGGAGACTCACTCCTTTGAGGATATGGCCATTGGTAGGGCTCCCATGATTCAATGATGAGATTTTAATTCTCTCTCTATTTATTATTTAGCTAGAATACTTCTATAAAGACAAATTGTCAAGCTCTGGCATGGTGGCACATGCCTTTAATCCCAGCACTCGGGAGGCACAGACAGGGCCAGCCTAGTCTACATGAGACTCTGTCTCAAAAAGATGGAGAAATTGTCGCTCAATTATTATTTGGTTACTACCAGTTACATATTCTACAGAAAAGAGAGGAAAATAATTCATGTTTTGTTTATCATTATTCAAAATAATTTTTGTGGGGCTGGAGAGATGGCTCAGCAGTTAACACCACTTGCTACTCTTCCAGAGGACTTAAATTTGGTTCTTAGTATCTCATGTCAGTAAATTCACCAACATCTATAATTCAGCTCCAGGGCATCCAAAACCCTCTCTTTGCCTCTGTGGTCACCCATAGTGATGTACACATACCCACACATGGACACATAAACATAAAAAGTAAGTAAATTTTTAAAACAATAATATTTTCCTAAGACAGGGTTTCTCTGTATAGCCCTGACCATTCTGGAACTCTCTCTGTAGACAAGGCTGACCTTGAACTCAGCCATTTGCCTGCCTCTGGAACCCCAGTGCTAGAATTAAAGGGATGCACCATTACCACCTGGCAAAAAATAACAGTAATTCTTTTTTTGGTTTTATTTTTTCGCATAAATTTTTTTAATTTTATTTTTTTATTTTTTTGTAATTAAATTTTAGTTCAAATTATGAACAAGCTTGCTTCACATGTCAATCCCTTCTCCCTCCCCACTCCCTCAACCCTCCTCCCCAACCCCCCACCTGCCACCCCACCCCATGGACCCTCCACTCCCCAGGCAGGGTAGGGTCCTTGATGGGGCTCCTCAAAGTCCACCACATCATCCTGGGCCTGGCCTAGGCCCTACCCATGTGTCCAGGGCAAGAGTGCATCCCTTTACGTGGGATGGGCTCTCAAAGTCCCTTTTTACACCAGGGAAAAATACTAATCCACTACCAGGGGCCCCCTAGAGTGCAGAGGCCTCCTCATTGACATCCATATTCAGGGGTCTGATTCAGTCCTGTGCTGGCCTCCCAGACAGCAGTCTGGGGTTCATGTGCTCCCCCTTGTTCAGGCCAGCTGTTTCTGTGGGTTTCACCAGCCTGGTACCGACCCCTTTGATCTTCATTCCTTCCTCTCTGCAACTAGGTTCCAGAGTTCAGTTCAGAATTTTTAAAATGATTTTTAGCAATGTCTGAAGGTGACCAGTGGGTTATATCTTTTTTAATTAAAGTTTTCATGCAAGCTTATATTGTATGTTAAGCATATTTCCCTTCTGACTTAGAATTACTATTGCTGTGATGAAACTCCCTGACCCAAAGCAAATTGGGGAAAAAAAGGTTTATTTGGCTTATACATACACATCACTGTTCATCGCTGGAGGAAGTCAGGTCATGAACTCAAATAGGGCAGGAACCTAGAGGCAAGAACTGAAGCATAGGCCTTAGAGGGGTGCTGTCTACTGGCTCACTCCCTGTGGCTTTCTCAGCCTGAGTTCTTACAGAACCCAGGATCATCTGCACAGGGATAGCACCACCACAATGGGTCGAACCCTCTGACATCAATCACTACTTCAAATTAATTTCACTTAATTTAAAATGGGTTTGCTGCAGCCTGTTCTAAAGGAGTCATTTTCTCAATGAAGGTTTTCCCTTCCCAGAAAACTATAGCTTGTGTCAGGTTGACATAAAACAAGCCAGCACACCTTCAAACTGCTCCACTTTCCCTTTTCTTGGTTTTTCTTTTGTTTTTTTGGGGTTTTTTTTTTTTTGGTTTTTCGAGACAGTGTTTCTCTGTGGCTTTGGAGGCTGTCCTGGAACTAGCTCTTGTAGACCAGGCTGGGCTCCAACTTACAGAGATCCGCCTGCCTCTGCCTCCTGAGTGCTGGGATTAAAGGTGTGTGCCACCAACGCCCAGAAATTAACACTTTCCCTTTTCTGACCCTTTCACCTCCCACTAGTCTCCTTGTTCCCCTAGATGGTTTTGCTTCTACTTTCACACTGTGTGTGTGTGTGTGTGTGTGTGTGTGTGTGTGTGTGTGTGTGTGTGTGTGTGTATACATATATGGTTTTATGTATATGCATAAAAATCTAAGAACCACAAATGAGAGAAGATGCTTGGCATTTTGTAGACTGGCTAAATTCACTTATTATGATTATCTCTAGTTATTTTCCTGAAAATGGCATGATTCCATTATTTCTAAGTGAAAAAATCTATTGTGCATATATACTCTTATTTTCTTTACCTACTTCTCTGTTGGACATGGTAGGTTTTCCTTAAACTCTTCATTTAAATTAAAATTTAATTTAACTTATGAGTAGTGCTACAGTAGACTTTGATGTACAAGGATCTCTGTAAGTGGAATGTTTCTGTCCCACCAACCAGTTCCCAAATAACCACACAGAGAGTTATTGCTAATTATAAATGCTCAGCTGATAGCTCAGTTTTCAATAACTAGTTCTTGTTAACTGAAATTAACCCATATTTCTTATCTATGCTCTGCCACATGGCTTAGTACCTTCTCTCAGTATAGCAAATTCATTTCCTGCTCCCTGTGCATCTCCTCATGACTCCTCAGACTCCTCCCTTCATCTACTTCTTCTCATAATTCTCTTAGTCTGGTGCTCCCACCTAACTTTATCCTGCCTTGCTATCGGCCAGTCAGCTTTATTAAACCAGTCACAGTGACATACATTTTACACAGTATATAGGAATATTCCACAGATCTCTGTGATATGTGTGATATGATTTGGAGGTCTTTGGCTAAATACCCAAGAATTGCGTAGTTGTGTTAAATTATATTTTTTTCTGTGTAGCATGTATAGCTTCCCAGATGTAAGCATTCTTAAGTCCTTTTTTGTGGCAGGTTCCCAGTGTTTTACCCAGGCTAGCATCAAACTTATAATCTCCTGCCTCAGTCTCAACAGTACTGAGATTACAGATATGACTCACTGTGACAGGACAAACATTTTTGTCATAAGGAGTTGCCTTGGTATTATTATGAGTCAAACTGTCCCACCTTCGGTTAGTGGAAACCCTTCAAGTTGGCCACCATATCACCCATCCAAGTCATAATACACAAAGACAGGCCAGATCGATAAGACATGACATAAGCAACAAAGACAACAATAACAGTTGTGTTGCACAGAAGTTTCACCAGTCTGACCAGGAGAATTTAAAAGATAAGAGGCTGTTTTAGTTGCCTCCTTGTATACCCTCTGGACTGCCTGACGTCCCCACAATGGGGACTCAATGCCATTGCCATTGGGGCATGAAATCAGAGATCCAAGGTAGGTCAGAAAACAACTGGTTGCTCTAGCCCAACTAACCAAAAATAACCAGAAGGTTATGGAGCATCTCCCTGTGCCCTGAACAGAGGATTTTGTATGTCTCATCAGACCCCTTTCATCCCGAGGAGGGCACCCCAAAACCAGGATCCAGAAACCAGACAGGAAAGTGTCACAGTGCTAAAAGAAAAGAAAAAGAGCTTCTGTGGCCTCCATAAAGATGTATGCTACTTCCTTTTCTGAGCATGGGCATTCACCGTGGGGAAGCGGGCAGTTCTCTGTGTAACAGCCCTGGTCATCCTGGAATTCTCTTTGTAGACCAGTCTGGCCTCAGACTCACAGAGATTGCCTATAAAGGTGTGCACCATCACTGCCAGGCTTTATGCTGTGTGTGTGTGACTGTGTTGTTTCTGTATGAAGCTGAAGATTGTGCTTTCAAGATCTAAGAAAAATTGTGTTGAAATTTTGGTAGGGATTGCATTGAAAATGTAGATTGATTTTTGGTAAGATAACCATTTTACTATACTAATCCTAATAGTCCATGAGCATTGGAGATCTTTACATCTTCTGATATCTTCAATTTCTGTTTTTTTTTTTAGTTTTTTTTTTTTTTGATACAGGGTTTCTCTGTGCAGCTTTGTAGAACAGGCTGGCCTCAAACTCACAGAGATCCTCCTGCCTATGCCTCAAAAGTGTTGGGATTAAAGGTGTGCACCACCACTGCCCGGCTATCTTCAATTTCTTAAAGTTTTTTTTTTAATCATACAAGTATTTCACTTGCTTAGTTAGACTTACCCCAAAATGTTTTATATTATTTGAGGCTATTGTAAGAGGTGCCACAACCTGAATATTAATGAAATCTCTTTTAGACATTTTTCATTCATAAGGGTTAGCAACTATGTATAAAATTCTTTAAAGAAAAAATCCTCATGTCTTAAAATTGATACTTCTAAATCAAATTCTAGGTTTTTTTTAATTTTTATTACGTGTGTGTGTGTGTGTATGCTATGCACACACATACATCTTTAGACACACATGTATGTCATAGCATTTGTGTGAAGGTCAGAAGAAATTTTTCAAAAGTGGGCTCCCTTGTTACATTATGTGGGTCCCCAATGA